TCCTAATGTTTTATTATCTCTGACGGCGAGAATTTCGGACATAACGTAGACGTTGTAGTAGCCTGTCTATTCGGGGTTTCCTCCCTTGTGTCTCTTCCCTTGTTTTCTGATGGAGAGCTCTCTTTTCCGGCTCGAGACACAAGTCTCTTCCATTATTACAAACAACTAGATGTTTGTTGCTTGATATTCTCCTTGTAGAAGGCTATTGAGGAATAACAGTAAACATTAGTAAAAGGAAAAAGAACGATCTACGCCCACGATGCTTCATACAGCTCCTCACGACACGCATTTTGTCCAATGTTTTCCTATACACTTGGTTTTCAATTGGACCAGAAAGTCACCCAAATGAAATAATGTACGATGTAACTTGCTTGCGTAGGTAGATCTTAAGCTCAATTTTAAACAAATAATCAATTCAAAATTGTTTTAGGCGAATACAGTAAGAGAGAAAACGAAAAAAAAATTTCATGAAAAATGCCACGGAAATGTGATTCGGTAAGAGTTGTTTCTGCATTAACTAAATTTTTCCAGTCATATACTATGTTCCGTACTTGAATTTTTTTACACTTTAGAACAGCTGCTAGCTGCTTAATGAGACTATCTTCTCTTCACCACGCCATTAAAGTACATTGCTAAATTGTTTTTGCTTTGTAAAATCATTTCTTGTATTTCCACTTCCTTGTGTATGCTGTTTGTTTATGTTGCTTTTTGAAAATCAGACGAATTTAGCTTTGTTTAACTATAATTAGTTTTTCTACTTTCATAAATAGAACGATTCGATGTATTTATAATAATCATTGTGCGGGGAAAATAATCGAACACTTCTGCCTCCTTTACGACTAAAATCGTATCTTTTATACGTTCAAGTTGATTTTCAATTAAGCTGAAGTTTTGTACTCGTGAAAAGTTTTCGATTGAGTTGTTTGTTGTCTTATAAGAAATTATTTTTTTGTCAAGCGAAAACCCAAGGTGTGTTTTTGTGAGCCCTCTTTGACTTAATGACTTTTAAACCGAAAATATAAATTCATATTTAACAGTGGGAAGTCTACAAGTAAATTTTATCATTCATCCCTTTCTTCATTTCGCTTCCTTGTGAATCTTTTTGCCTTCTTTTCATTTTTGCAGTATTTCTTTTTCTTAGAATAAAATTTACAACTTCATGAGTAATTTTGGTTAAAGACGAGTTAAAATTGCAGCTTTGTCTTAAGTCTGTGTATAATTACATCAGTTCATAGACCAGAATGAGAATGATTGATGTAATCTTTATGAAAAGTAAGTACATTACAATACTCAAAAAGAAAAGAAAAAAGAAAAACAAGAAGAGAAAATGG